CGCGCATTCGTTGATGTCTAGCAAGCACTCTTTACCCCCAAATGCCAGTAGTTTTTCATATTCCGTCACCCTACCGTGAAACTTTCCTTTCATACTCACCCACAAGTAAACACCATTCAAATACTCAGTGGACAAAACAGCCATCCTTTAGTCTTACTGCTCACATCCACTGGTACTCACCGCAACCTTATTGTTCTCTTGCGTCCTGCAGATGCACCTGAAACCACCAGCCGCAGTGACTCATGCAGCGCAACGTCAAATAGCCACTCATTTTGCTTTGCCCACGGCATTGCAATATATGTCACGTGGCTACCTGGAATCACCCCCAGCAATAACTCAAAGCTGGCTCTATGCCCAGACATCCCGCTTTCCTACTCTGTTTTATCAAAACGATAGACAGTGTCTCAGGACTTATAAGGATTCTCTCGCAACCCCTTGGATAAACAAGTTTCCCTTGTTTTTGTCCATCTCTTATGAAAGTTAACAAACCCTCAAATCCCTCCCCGGATGCTGAGTCAATGGGTGCAAACAAAATATGGTTGAATTAATATGCCTCATCCCTCCCCAACAGATGCCCTCTTCTGGCTGTCCCCATCTTCACTAAATATACAATTTGTTGTAGATCACACTCATCTCTAGACTGTGGGATCACGATGATATATTACTTACAATCGTGGTATACTACTGACATCCTAGGCAGCCGTTTTTTCCATCCCGCCCATCGGCTTGAAATTTCCGATCTCATCAGAGACCTTGTTGGTGATCGCATCATCTCACCTCCCCAAGCCTCTTTCCTGGCCATTCCCTGAACAGGTTGAACAAAACCATATGGCTTACCATCGATCACGACGACAATACTACTTTTATAAGTTGCATGTACCACCTAACCGATTCAGATAACTTTGTCCGGCACGTCTCACAAAAAGCCGTTCCTCGTGGACTTACAAGAATATGATTTAAGCATGTCTTACGCCACTAACCCCTTCAATACTAGGTATTGTTCCCTCACTCCTCACTACGCATTGGTTGGACCATATCCATAGGTTGCCACTCACTAGCTACTATCTACCAGATATGATCCCCTTTTGGCTCTGGTAACAAAATGATTTTTTCCAAACCAAACAGCCCTCGGCATCTTTAACTAAGCGGCACGAGATCTTCAACCTGAATCATCCTAATCTATCCGACCTGCATTCTACTCCCACATAGTCTGTGACACTTCACCGACTCAATTTTTCAGGGTTTCGTAACTGTTAAAATCCCGAAGATCAGCTTATCATTCCGGGTTGACTATGTCAAGCTACTGCCACCAAAAGTACGAATGTTTATCGGTGTCTGGTGACCAGTGAGAGCAATCAAGCCCGCTCATTATGTTTCCACTTATTCACACCCTAATCAGCCTGGATTGCCAGTCGCCGATATCACCCTGCATTTTATGATTTATTAAGTCTCCACTTCGCCTATCCAATCATTGTCTCTCCTGATACTCCCATCAAAGCCCTTGACTACTTTTAGTAGTATGTTTTTTCGGCTTATAAATCTCAATCAACCAAGTGTACTGCCACCTAGGGCCCATCAAAATGCCTTGTTATCGACTCTGTGGGTACCCCAACATTCCTCTACCATCTGAAAGGCGAAACTGTAGACGACACTTGGTAAAATTTCCAATTCTAATGATAGATACTAGCTAATGATAGCAGCCTTATACTGTTTTAAATCACAAACTTTATCGCCACCACTTACATCTTAATCAATTATCCATTCATTACGTCCAAAATCGATCCGTTTAGTTCAGTTCCTCTCACTTACATCAATGACCAAATCGTAATTCTACACCGTTAGATAAAAATGGTAGTGAAACAGGTTTCGAAAAGGGTGGAACAGAAACTCCCCCTCGAACAAATGGTAGAACAAGTTTAGCTGGCCCCCATCAATCCAACGTACAGAAGAACCAAATGGATCCAAATGGAAAGAGAATACCACTCCACTGTCATTGACGAAAGTCCAGTATGTAATATCAAAGACTCAGACCAACAAAGCACCTGAGCCAGATGATCTAAGTCCCGCATTTTTCGAAGGAAATCGCTGCAAAGTATCTAGGGCGAGGAAGGGATACCAATAGAATGAGGCGCTTTCAGAGTGATTTATACCTTCAAAAAAGTCATCAGGAAGTTGTACGAAAACTCCCGAAACATCAGGCTAGTGGTCCTGGATTTTCTGACAAGATCCGATAAGGGTTGATCCAGCTTTAGAAGAGTCAGATAGGTGAGCAGCAAACTGGGATTCATCTGGGCTAGATGATCACCTTGAGATAAGTACTGGGACTGCATCACTCCTTTCGACGACCAACAATGATCGTCTCTCTTGATCTCAGGTATGCTTTTGACTACGTCGTTGTTGACAAACTGTGGCACAGCCTGGCTATGAATTCTTGTTCCTTGTGAAGGCTGTACATACCTCTTCTTACCCACGTATTTGACTGTGGTAAAGTGTCTTCCACATCCAGTACCGTGAATTATGCAGGAGTTCCGTCATTTCTACCTATTACCTGCCTAAGTCTCCTTTGCCTGCGCTTAACAACTCGGGTATCTAAATACTCCAAGGGCATCCACCCATGGACATCGACTACACCAGTAGTTTTCGTGGCAGTATTTTCGTCCCGTCGGTGAAAATCCGAAATGCATTATACATCTGTAATTCCCCTATTAGGACCCATCAGTAATGCGCACAGTGACTCAGAGAGTTTCATAGCGAAGCAAAACTTTAACGTCGGATAACTATCTAACCTACACGAGCTTAATTAAAACCCTCACAGAGTTTGACATAAGCAACATAGGCAACCACGACTACTAAAATCAGCGGTCTCGTTGCTCACAAAGAAAGCTATCCCTCCTAACTGGACCACATTTCTACTGTAATCTGAGTGAACATTGAGCACTCTGACGTTGCTCTAGTTACGTTCATCCTTCAAAGGCTGAAAAGTCATCAGATATTCTCACTACTGAAATAAAGTTGTAAGATAGTATTCAGAGAAGCAACATTCCCCTCCCTTGGTATCCTATGACTGAAAATTGAACTTGGCAACCAGATCGATAAATTCACAAACTCAGTTCAAAAATGGACTCGACTCCAAAACTAAGTTTAGGTCATTATCTTACGTTTTAGTATCAAACTTTAGTTCATGTAAGGGAAATTACTCACATGGTTGCTGGAAACTTTTTGACAGCCCACGACCCGACCGGCGCTTCTGTTTTGGGCTCATCAGGTAGGTGCAGTCCCCGAGTTTCCGTTAACCTCATGTTCTACTTGAACCCAAATTGGACTGTTTTCGAGAAATACACTCATTTGCAAATCAATTTGGTTTCACGGGAGACTAAAATGAATTTCTCGTTTATGATAGTCTACAACTGAATGTGCTGTACAAAGGCCGCATCATGTTTCAGTTGGTACAATATTCCTTAATATTTCTCATAGAGGAAACTACTTACAAGGTTACTGAAAACTCTTCGACAGCCCACGATTTGTTTCACCCTTTTTGTGAGTAGTATCCTTTACGAAAATACATTGCGATACCTCAAACATCGTGCCAACTTAAACATCAGGCGGCCTTTGTGCAGCATATTCAGTTGAAGAACATCATAAAAGAGTGATTCACTTCAGTCTCCCGTAAAAAAAGAGTCGCAAATGATTGGATTTGTAACATTTAGTTTAACTACTTTTTCATTCTTTACTTCCATTAAACACCAATTGCGAAATCTGATTCACGTGTTCCCACCTATGTTGCCTACTGTTCTTGTTCTCTTTGTTATCATTACGTATGTATTCAACTTAGTTTCCCTTAACCCGCCTATATGTATCCCAGTCTGCATCAGATAGGTTGAATGAATATCCGCTGTTGTGATGTTGGTTTGATGTACTCCAACTGTGTGTACTTTTTCCACTTCAGTAGGTGCGCCTCATTTATCAATGAAGGCACAACATTAACTTGGGTGGAAATTTTAGGTTGCTCCTACACCGTTAAAAATTCAGGCTTCCATTTGGGATGTGTCGCACATTGCAACTCACAAATGAATCCGCGGCGACTTAGAAATTACCATTAGTCGGAAAAAGCATTTATTTCGGAAACTTGCAGAAACTTACCACAAACGGCTATAGTCTTTATCCGGTGCACCCTGCATCCAACCAGAAATTCAGGATCGCGTAACGAGAGGAGAAACGTTGTAAAGTTATGAAAGATGAATTGGCAAAGCACCTAGTATTCAACTAAAGTGACCACCTCGCAACATTCGGTAGGAAGATAGGGTGCCAACATCTCACTTCAGGTTAAATACAATCCACAGTTGGTTCCTTGATGTGAGTAGGAGTCCGGTGTTTGTTAGGGTATCACTGAAGTTTTGCTAATAATGAACTTGAAAGCAAGATCACAACAGAGGGGATCTCGTCATTAGAGTGAAGCTAACTATTGCAAACGTTCATGCCCAAATTGGCTGCACTCACGCTGTCAATTGAAGGCATAACAGTATGCAAAGCAATATGACGCACGTCTAACTAGGCTTTACTTCATCAGCTGTGTCTGTAAGAAGTTCTGCTTTGGAGAAAAAGAATTTGCAGGACGATACAGGATCCATTTTGATTCACCGTTCAACATGTTCTATAAAGTAACGTAGCAAGCACCCTCCTGTACACAAAATAACCTGCCTGTAAATTCGACGAATTCCTTTTAAATTGGACCAAGTTTCCCGAGTTGCTCATATCGCAGCAAATTCCAGAAAGTTTCTAGTTCGGCAATGAATTAATTGTAATCATTGTACATGAATACAAAGTGGACTGGGGACAAAACGGTGCAGAACGCTGCAATGCTTTGAAGGTTGGAATTTGTCTGACTCACAGCAATGAAATCTCCATCATGCGTGGTATCCAGTCTAAAATATAATTTCTGGCAAATACCGTGTCACAGTCACGCAAAATTGGAACGGTCACCCAGGTCGGATTGAAACTGTTCATGCTAATCTCATCATCATCCTCATCATCGACAGCTTGACATCAGTGTCCAACACCGATGCTTCACTGCCGTACAACCATGACTGATTTGAAGGCCTTATTGTAAAGAAAAGAGTAAAGTTTGACGGGGGAGGGACTTAGTGCTAGCCTACGCAATCATTCCGAGGTGCCTACACCTCCAGACATTCACTCAGGCAATCTGGATAGAAACTGACAACAGGAACGCCACTGACTTTGGTTGGCAGCCATATCTTGTAGTGTCTCCAACCAGGCACAGTGAGGATCACACGGTCCCCATCCTGGAAGGCGAGTAGCACCGACAGCACCCAAGCGTTTCGTGATCTCCTTCATACTCCTCTGCCAGGTCATG